GTGATTTCAGTAGGGTTTTCCATGAGAAGCAATATTATATTAAAGAACAAATCACAAGTCCTGGTTCTGGAGCCAAAAATCACAGAGGCCAAATCCACTCTGATATGAATGGATCACCTAGCCTCCTCCTGCCTCTTTTCTACCTATGAAATCAGAGTAATGCTTTAGGACTGTCATGAAGTTTCAGAGAAGTAACAGACTTAGTATGTGCAAAACGCTTAGGTTGGTGGGAAAAAGGCTGAAATGTAGCCCTAAGGGACAGTGCTAACTTATTACCAGGGCAGTGGTAAGTCTCACACACCCAGGCTAGAAAGACAGACCAAGGTAACCAAAATGAGGAGAGTCAAGATATGCATTACGATCACCAACATCTCTCAAAAGCAACTGAACGTGTGTTTCCTTGAGAATGAAGTCCAGCGAAGGCTCAAACCACCTGCATCTTCTTGCTCTAAAGAGGAACCTCAATAGACACATTTTGGGTATCTTTTAAATAAAAGAGAATTCCACTGGGGCTGCAGAGATGGCTCAGCAGTTAAGAGCACTGCACTACAGAGGACCTGGGTTTGATTCCCAGAACCCACATGGCAGTTAACAGGCAATTCCAGTTCCAGGAGATCCGAGGCCTTCTGACCTCCTCGGGCATTGCAGGACGTGGGTGCACTTTAGGTGTATGCGGGCAATACACTCACACACATAAAATAAAATTAAAATAATTTTTAAAAAGAATTCCACAAATCTATGGAATTATTTAATTCTAAAATGCTATCATTCTCTTCAAAGTAAGGTTTCCAGATAAAATACAAGATGCTAAATTAAATCTGAATTTCAGTGGCAAACAATATAAAAATGTCCTATGTAATATCTGGAACATACATGCACACACACTAAAAAGCTATTCATTGTTTATTAGAAATTCAAATTTGACTGAGTATACTGTATTTTTATTTGATAAATGTGACAATGCTATTAATGATCCAAAAGTCTAGATAAATGTCTAAATTGCCTAATCAGCATGGAAGATTAAGATTAAGCAAGAAGATACAGAATCTATTTGGTGTAAACAGAGTATCTTACGAGACAGTGTGGTAAATAGAAAGAACAAGCATTTTAAAATCAGACAACCCTGAGCTTTAATTCACAAGCATCTGAGAATTTATCATTGATTGGCTTTCAACAAATTACTGCACCATTAAACATGGCTTACTTCCCCCTCCCCTGACTCAGGATAGGCAAAATTCTTCCTCGCACTTTAGAGGCTCAGGAAATTCGAATTCAAGTTTCCCAACAAGGTTGCCCAAACCAAAGCATTCAATTTACCCTGCGCTAGCTAAACAAAGTCAGCCCTTCCCACACTGCAGATACCCGAACTCTCCTCTGCTGACCACCTGGCTGGCTTCCTTCTCCACACTTTGATCTACACATTCATTAAGATGGCCAACCGAACTGTTCCCAAATTCCAACAGTACTCAATAATGTTTGATCAGAAATGTTCGAAAATAACATCACACTGAGAGTTCCTCATGTTTCTTTTCTTTTTGAAATCATTTAGATTACAGATTTATAAACAAATCTATTTCTAATTATCATAATACTAAATATAAAAATGTTTTTTTCTTAGTTTAAAAAAAAAGCTGAAAAATTCCATCACTGAGTCAATTAAAAAAAACAAATGCTTCCAAGAGTTGCAAAGGCACAAAAGAAAACTATTTTCCAGTACAGCTCATGGTACTAGCTCTTCCTACTATTTTAGAGTCGTATAGCATGGGAGAATTATTTTCTAATGTTCATTTTACAAATTACTTAACTAACAATATGCTGTTCTATCTTCCATTTAGTATACCTTATCTTCTCTCTACATACTGTGATTTCTCTGAAGGAAAATTAACTAAATATTTCAGCAGTTTAACTAGTGGGAAGCAAAGAATTAAGATTGTAGATACAAAGGTGCTGTAATTGTGTTTTAATCAGCTTATTATATACAACATGAACATGTATCAGTCAACTAACATTTAATTTCATGGTCTATGATTCAAAACTTTTCAAAAGCATAACAATACAAAGTTATAAGCATTTACCTAACAATTCCTTTCCAATTGTGTTTTAATTCATGTAAACTGTTTTACTATTACATGACAACTGTTACATGTCCTTACAGCCTGGAAGAAGACTTAATTAGGAAGTTTATTAAGACACAAACATCTTAAAATTTACCTTTTATTACAGAATAATACTAACTCAGCCTCAAAAGAAAACCATCTACACCCACTTACCTCTATGTATGTATGTTTGTGTACAGAAATACACCAATATAAATTCTTTGTTAGGGGATAAACACAGGACTCTTGAAAATTTATTTTGAATATTTCCATTGCCAACAGACATAAATCCACTGATGAAACAAACTACTGAGCCAAAGCTTGTTTTAAATTGTTGCTACAGAAAATGCAAACAACTTGCTATAAATCTCATTTAGAAAGTAAATTGCCTAATTGCACATTCATTTGGGAGTATTCTACAAAGATTTCCCATCACAGTCATATTTTGACTTGGAATACACATGCACTTGCTTTTCCTTCCCCCACACCCCATTAAACCAGTGATTTTTCATGATCTGAATGATTCTATTTTTCACAGAAAATTTAGGTTATCAATATTCTATTTTTGTTAAGGAATAGTGAAAATTACTTTAAAAAATCAGAAGGTTCTTCTCTGTAGCATTTTGCTTCATGGCCAAATTGCTTTTGCTTTAAAAGGTCTGTTTCTGACCATTATTTTTAACGCAAGTGTAGAAGGGCCTGAGGGTAAGGGTCATTAACATCTTTTACTAAGACAAAAAGATTCCACTATGGTTGCTAGGATACCATCGGACAGAATCATTTATTGAAGCCAAAAACAGTTATTAAAGAGTTCTTCTCACAAAACAACGTACTACAGCAGGAACAATAAAGCAAACAAACAGCAATCTAAAAGGAATCCCTGCCCTCAAAGAGCGTAATACTGTTGTCAGTCTATAAATGTGTAAAACACATCTTGAATGAATTTTTTTAAGGAACATGAATAAGTAGATAGCACAAAAGATGGGAAACACAGGACAGGCAGCAAGCAAGGTGTTTCACCCTAGTCTGGAGAGTTATTATTTCACTGACTCATTTAACAGAATTGTAATGACTGATCCAATACACCACTTACTGGTCTAGACATTCCATGTAGTGCAGCTAACAAGACAGAGTTCTAGCCCTTAGCAAGCCTGAACTCTAAGGAGTAGGCTAAGTAAAAACACTTCAAGTATCCCCATCCACATATGCATACAAATGTAGGCAGTGTGGGAGCAGCCTATGGTGGAAGAGGATGTAGATGGGGCGAGAAGGCCCTACGTATCTTCTAGTGACTATGCCAGAATGAGCAAACATTGAAGAGGAAACTCATGTTCTTTCTGCCACACAGGTTAGATCACGGTAACCCTGACATGAGGTATTTCAGTACATTCACTGCCTGAGTCACCTTGGCAAGATAGCAATATTTTTGCCATGAATAGCGGCACCACCAACCTTCAAGGGTTTCAGAAGCATGAGATGTTTGTAAAACATTCACAGCCTGGCTGGTAAACCACATCTTTTATTATTACAGTTCTGTGCTTATGTTACGGAATAATAAAGAAATGAAATTGGTGGAAATTAAGGATGTAGAAAGGGGAAATGGATGGTAAAAGTTTTTAGAAAAATCAAAACTGGAGAAGTATGATAAAATCATGTTCAGACCTAAAGTTCTACATTGCATCATTCATAGAAAGTTATGACCATATAAATAGAACACATTGTATCAACTTGTAGGACAAAAATGTAAGTAGATGATACATGCATGTGCGATGTAAAGAAAAAGACCTTGAGAGTACTAGATGAACTTGAAAAACCAGGTTCTCTGGTAGTAAAGGCAAAATTAAGACACTGAAAAAAGTGATAAACAGATAGTGCAGGCCTCCAAAAATAATTTTTTAAAAAGTCTTCAAAAATACAATCCCCAAAAATGCTGGAACTAGGGCTCGCAAGATGGCTCAGCAGGTGAAGTTGCTTGCCATGTAATCCTGGCAACCTGAGTTTGATCCCCAGAACCCATGTAAAAGTAGGAGAGAGTGACTCCACAAGGTTGTCCTGACTTCCACAGGAGTATTACGACATGTGTACCCACATAACACACCACACAGTAATAATAATAACAATAATAATAATAATAATAATTTTTTAAGAAAACAATCCTTCCACTAAATTCACTAGCCATTTACTCTGTACTGTGGCTCATACCAATAAATATGCAGATCAAGTCTATGTACCACTAAAATTATAGCAGTTTCTCCTTACCTGGAGGGAGCAGAAATCTCTGGCCCCAATAAATAGAAGCCTTCATATAAAATACAGTAATCATGGTAGCAGCTATTGTTGTACCATGCATGATTCCTTTCCATTTCATCCTCTAAGATGCTCTTATCCTGACTCAACCAGATAAAAATACCTCAGAGGGAGGCAGGACTCCTCTCTCTGCTGGACCAGGCTGAGACTGCTACCCACGGCTGACTGTCACCATTGACCACAAAATCACTTCCTAGTACTTCCCTGTTAAAGACTCAAATTTTCCCATTAACACTCTGCCTTTCTGTAGTATACCTTAACATATATGAAATAATTCTCCCATGCACTATTTTACCAGAAGCAACTGAAATGATATTTCAGTCCCCTGCAATGTGCGCGACCTTCGTCCCCAAGGCTAGGTCCTTCTCATGTCCACCAGTATTTCCTGCTATGCAAGTCTACCTAGAATGGCACATAAACTGGTAAAACAGAAACACTACGATGCAATGACATAAGAGGAATACATCATGGCAATGTCAGAAATAATGTCTGAAATGTGAGAAGCAAGCTCCACCAGCTTTATTACAGGACTCTGGGCTAAATAAAGAAGCATGACCAACCGACTGATCCCTAGGTATTTTGAAGAGCAAGTTTTACCTGCATCATTATGGGAATGAGGCACCACAAATACTTGAAGGGGTTCACTGTCCCACTCATCAGCTTCATAATTAATGTCAAATCCTTGTTTCCAAACTCCCCCATCTGGATTATCAAAAGGAATTAGATCATAAACATCCAACATCTAAAAAGATGAAAGAAAAAAAATTTAAGTTTAATCATTATTAATTTATACTTAATGTCAATCCATATTTGCTCAAAATACTGCTGAGATATATGTATATTATGAAACAAAACTATTTCTGTAGAAATTAATTTAAAAGTTTAAGGTCAAAAATATTTGACCATTATTCAAAGATCTGAAATGCTAGTTGTGCTACATAACTAACCTGCCAAAAAAAAAATTCCTTCCCTTGGGGGCTAGAGATAGGGCTCAGCACTTAAGAGGCTAAGAGGCTGTTCCACTCTTCCAAAGGACCCAACAACCACACTAGGTAGTTTGCAACTGCTTGTAACTCCAGCTTCTGGGGAATCCCAGGTACTTACATGCATATACCCAGACACACACATACACACATACATACATACACACACACACAGCATACATAAATAAAAATAAATTTTAAAATATTTTTTAAGGGGCTTGAGAGATGGGTCAGCAGTTAAGAGCACTGGCTGCTCTCTTGCACAGGTGCAATTCCCAGCACTCACATGGTAGCTAACAAAAGTTCGGATCTCTAGTTCCAGGCAATCCAACACCCTCTTCTGACCTCCACAGGCATTGCACTACACAGGTGCACTTACACACATGCAGACAATACACTCATATACATAAAACAAAAATGAAAAAATAAAATATTTTTAAATATATTTTTAAGTCCCCTCCCTGTTGGCATGGTAGTACACGTCTTTAATTTCAGCACTCAGGAATCAGAGGCAAGCAGAGCTCTATGAGTTCGAAGCCAGCTGTCTACACAGCAAATTACAGGCCAGCCAGGGTTACACAGTAAGACCCTGTGTCAAAATACAAAAAACAAAACAAAAATCCCCTCCCTATCTACATCTAATAAATACAATTTTATTCAATTCCTTCTTCGTTTTATTTTTACTATCAGTGTGATTTAATAAGAACATAGGAATACAACAAATGTTTTTCATGAATTTTGATTATGACTAAACATTTCAACATTTTCAAACATAGTACTCAAAATGATTTTCTTAATTTATATGGGATACCTTTACTTCATTATCACATTTATTTTCTAAATCTATACCTGAATGAAAATAATGTATATTTTCTGCTAGGTTTACAATTTTTATTCTAAAAATAAAATTACAGCAGGGTCAACCAGGCACAACCACTTAAAAGTGGAAGAAAAGTATCCAGCTGTTTTCTACAGTCAGATGCAATTACACAGGAATAGTCCTGGCAAGAGGCTGAGGCAGGAAGACCACTAAGTCCTGAAGTCAAAATGCAACACAGTGAGACCCCTTTTCAAAATGCAAACAAATGTTTTCTAGCTTTCCAGTGCAGAATACTTTGTAGATAATAATCTATTTGTAAACAGGAAAAAACACTGTCCCCTTGAAAATATAAAACTTAGCTTTTATTCTTCATATTCTCCATAACATTAAAAAAAATAAAATTTAAATTGTTAAAATGAAACAGGCTGCAAAAATTATACCCTAATTAATATTATTATGACAATCTGTAAACACCAGAAAATTATATAAAAATGATAAATTATTTTAAGACAATAACATATCTCTTGCTGTGGAACTCATAAGACCATTCTATGGATAAGACATTAAATAAGACCATTCTAAGGCTAAGCCAACATACCTGTGGGAAACAGCAAGGCAAGAGGAGGCATCAGCAATACCTGTTGTTATTTCTGGTTCTATCTGGTTATTTCTTCAGCCCTATAGCTCTTCCAGTAAGTATCCTCATGCCTCACTCTGCCCACCGACATGACTACTCCCCAACTCTTCTGTATACAACCCACATTTAGACCAAAAGGGCAAAACAACAAAAAGTGTTGCCCCTTCCCTTAGCACAATGGTCAAAGGTAGGCACTGAAGAGGCACTCAAAAGCCAAAATGAAGCCATGCCTCATAGAATTCGATAACCCAGAAAGCACAGAATCTTTCCCGGCATGTTTCAGTCTGCCCACACACCAGCTAATGAGGCTGCAGGTGCAAGGCCTGGCCAGCTGCACTACCTGCTGCTTGCAGCTTGGCATGTGAGCCATGACCATGTTCTATGCCCCCAAGAATTAGTGGAAAATGCCTTCTCTAAAGCCAGGCTGGAGGCCATCTAATTTTGCACAACTTTAAAATATTCACTCTTTAAGACCCCCAAATCCCCTGTATTATTCAAATTTCTGGCCTAAGACAAGGTTTAACACAGCCCTCTGCTAATTTTCAGAGCAAGGGTAGAGTGAGTGACACATCCTGAGTTTAAGAAAGACAGAGGGTCCTTTCTGACCCTGGTTTTCAACTCATTACCTCCTAGTTGCCCAAGTGAAATAATACAATATACAATCTTAAATATACTAGTAAAATATCAATTATAGATCTTATTTAACTTATCCAAGATTTAATTAACATAAAAATAAACTAAGGTACTTTACATGTTAAGTCCAAGGCACTTTGTTTCCATTTCTCTTTCGGAGTACATCAAGTCAAAATGGCCCACACTTCAAGTGCTTGGCAACCATGTGAGGAAGATACTTTCCCCAGCAGAAAGCACAGCTCTAGAATATTCCCTTCCCTGCAAAAGGCTATTACTCCAAATAGCTATGCTCCTACAGTAGGAAGGCAGACACAGAGTGACAGCAAGACTTTTCTTCTATTCTCCAAAAGGAGATAGGGAAATCTCTTTGGCAAAAATTAAAGCTCTAAAGATTTTTTTTTTTAACTGTTACAGAAAATAAAGACAAAAAAGCCATTCTTAAAGGAAAACTGACAGAAACATGAAAGTAGTGAACTGTATCACTAACAAAAAATGATGAGACTAATCAAATCACAGCAAAAATTGAAACTGTAGCCCAGAATTTAATCAACTTACCAAATAAGAGCAGACACAAGATCAAATTTGAAAACAAAACAAAAAGGCTCTGTAATTACCAGCAAAAGTCTCCATTACCTGCACATCTGGATGCTGACTTCCACTCTGTGAGGCAAACAAACAGTCTTTGGGGTCAGCCTGCAGGGTTAACTGGGAAGACCGGGTGTGTGCTACACCTTGGCTAGCATTGCCTTGTGAACCTTTTGGACCATCCTCCACAGACTCACTCAAGTTGATAACAGAATCTCTGATATTAGAGATGATCTCATTATTTTCAGCTAGCAGACGTTCCAAATGGTCTATTTTTTCTTGCAATATTGAGAGCTGGCCCTGTAATAATAAATAAAAATTTAAAAAAAGAAAGAAAAAGTGTAGCTCAGCCAAAGCACATGCATTTTTCTTTCAAAGCCCATGTGTCTATGCAGGACAGCCACTCACCCTTCCCTTTCCACTTTTGCAGCGGGATGGTGAGAGCGGGGAACCATGGATGAGTTAGAAACACCATTTTCTAACAGAAAACCTCCATTGTTGTAATCATATTTTTAAATGTATAACAGAATGACCAAAATATTTGAGGATATATTTCCTAATCCCCCAATTCAGTCCTAAGTGATCTTTGGGGCTCTAAAATCACTAATTCAGCAGTCTGTTATATTCAGGTATGGAATTTTGCATTTAAGTATAACGGATAAAAATTAACTTACCAGGTCAAAACATATTAGCCTGAACAATAGCATTCCATCTCAACCTGTTAACTAGTGGACAGTTCTAAATAAGAGGTGCACACCTTTAATCCCAGCACTCGGAGGCAGAGGTAGGTGGATCTCTGTGAGTTAGAGGCCTCCCTGTTCTACATAGTGAGTTCCGGGCCAGCTGGGGCTACAGCGAGACCCTGTCTCAAAAGAGCAAAAGAAAAAGAAAAAGAAAAAAACCGAAAAGAAAATATCCCTAAAAGATTTTAGGGTTACCTCTTCAAAGGGGGAATGTTAGAGTAGCAAAAAGCCACATTAAAAAAAAAAAAGAAAGAAAGAATACATGATGTCAGAAAAAAGTGATGGGGAGATATGGGAGGTGTTAGAGGGGAGGGAGTAGGCATGGATTTTATCAAAACATCTTATATGCATGTAAGAATAAATACTATAAAGTTTTTTTTAAGTTACAAAAAAAGAAAAAAATCAATTCTCAACTCTTTATTAACCATAGACAGAAGCAACCCTCAAGTTACCATACAGCAAGCCATTCAGACTGCTTTTATTACACCATGTGACTTTTAGAGCTTTTAAAAAAAAAAAAAAATTGATCTGTCCATTGAGAAGCTTGCCATCCTAATACACAGCTTGTTTTACAGAACAATACCGCAGCTTGTGACAGCAAGAACAATCTCTGACTTGTTCAACCCTGCATTCTGGGTTCCAAGTATAAGGTAGATACTCATATATTTGTCATGTTTCTGGAACAACAGTAATTCTTTACTGAAAACCCATTGTGTCAGGCATAATGCCACACACTAGGAAAATAGGTATGCCTAAGGCACAGCCCCTAGTCTTTGAATATACAAGGTGACATTAGAAACAAGAGCCTACTCCCCAGGTCCCAAAAGCTCACATTAGGATTTAAAGAATAATTATCTGCACGGTGAACAAATAACCTCAGACCTTCATAACCAGGAAATAACAGGAAGGTAGAAGGGAAAAGAGAAAACAGCCAAATGGTAGAAAATAGAGAGTCAAATGGTAGATTTACATCAAGGAATAGCCTTCAATCACTAAAAATTGAAAAATATAAAAATTTTAATAGAAATACAAGGATGGTTACTTTCAAGAAAATTTTTTAATTGTATTATTAGTCGGTGTGGTGGCACATGCCTTTAGTCCCAGCACTCGGGAGGCAGAGGCAGGTAGATCTCTGTGAGTTCAAGGCCAGCCTGGTCTACAAAGTGAGTTCCAGGACAGCTGGGGCTACAGAGAGACCCTGTCTCAAAAAGAACAACAACAAAAAAAAAGTAATAAAGCCTGATAATCTGAGTTTGATCCCTGGAACTGACATAGTGGAAGCAGAGAACAGATTCCTGAAAATTGTCCTGTGACTTCCACATGTACACTGGCACAGGCATGTACACACACACACACACACACACACACACACACACACAAATAAACAAATATAACATTAAAGAACAGAGGACAGGGGAAACAAAGGCAGGAGGATTTCTGTAAGTTCTAGGTCAGTCGAGTCTATACAGTAAGTTCTAGGCCAACCTACCCTAGTAAGACTATGTCTCAAAAAATAAAGTGGAGAAAAACCCAGAATGTGAGATTTTCAAAGTGTAATTTTCACTGTAATACACAACCATATGTAGGATGAAAACCTGGTGCATAAGATGCGGTGATACATGTCTCCTATGCTAGCACTGGACAGTGTGAGTGTAAAGACTACAGATTCAACACCGAACATACTGGGTATGAACAGGGCTGGGAGATTTAAGAAGAACCAGGTCCAACCAAGTGAAATTTCCATTCTAAAACTATAAAAGAGCTGTATGATGTTTCAAGTAAGATAAAAGTAATAAAATTTTCTTGTATAATTGAATCTTTTAAGAGTGAAAAAATGCGAGGGCTGGACAGAAGGGTTAAGAACACCTGCTGCTCTTGCAAACCTGAGTTTGGTTCCCAGCACCAATGTGTGGCTAACAACCATCCATTACTCCTCTTCCAGGTGATCCAACACCTCTTTTGATCTCCGCAGGCATTCAGGACATGGGTACACTTATATACATGTAGGCAATATACTCATACACTTACAATAATTTTTAAAAGAGTAAAAAGGACCTCCCTTTGCTTCTCTGGGCGAGCACCACCTGACACAGGCCTCTCTCCCACCTGCAAGCCTCTCTCTAGGACCAACCAAGCTCCTCAGTGCAGTCCCTAGGAGTCCTTGGGACCTCTTCCCGCCCCATCTGCCTTTGCTTCTCTGGGTGGAACGGCCACCAGCTGCTTTAGACCAGCATCTTTCCTGGGCTAGGCTCTCAGGCCAGTCCAACGCCCAAATTCCTGAGGCCAAAATTGTTCCTTGAGGGATTCAGACCAGAAATCATGTGACCCTCATCTGAACTGGGCTGGAGTGGGAATTCCTGAAGACAAAATCAGTCCGGCCACTCCAATATAAAATCAAAAGAGAGAACCGGAAGCTTAGACAAACCGGCTTTTCATGCCCAAAAAGTAAACCACAAAGACACATAAAGTTCATAAAAAGAAGTAGACATAAACTTGAAGACGTGAGTCTCACACAAGAATCAGAAAATACAAAAGAAATACACATCTTAAAATCAGAGAGAAAAAATAATAACAAGAAAAACCAAAATAACATATCCACAACAAATACCAATAGTCCTCTAGAGGAGTACAATGAGAACTCCCTAGAGATAATGCAGGACATGGAACTTAAAAGAACAATTATAAACATAATAAAAGAATTCAGTGCATTTAAAGAACACACAAAAAAGATATCAAAGAACTGAAGGAAGATAGTGATAAATGTCTGAATGAATTCAGAAAAGAGTTAGGAATACTGAAGAATACTCAGAATGAAATGAAGAAGGAAGTGAAATACTCAGTAAGCCAATTAGAAACGACAGGAGAAAGCCTCAAGAACAGGATGAATGAAATGCAAAACAGAGTACCAAGACTGGAAGATAAAGTGGATAAACTAGACCACTCAAGAAAGATTATGAAAAATCTAAGAAGTCACAAGAATGGAATATGCAGGAATTGTGTGACACCATAAAAAGGCCAAACTTACGAATCTTAGGCATACAGGAAGGAGAAGAATGCCAAGAAAATGGCATGGACCAGATCTTCAACAAAATCATGGAAGAAAATTTTCCAAAATTAAAAAAGACATGCCCATACAAACACAAGAGGTGTAGAGAACACCAAACAGACAGGACCAGAAAAGAAACTCTCCACGGCTCATCATAGTAAAAACTCTACACGTACAAAACAAAGAGACAATTCTGGAAGCTGAAAAAGAGAAACAACAAGTCACATTTAAAGGAAAACTCATTAGGATTACAGCTGACTTGCAGTGCAAACTATGAAAGCCAGAAGAGCCTGGACCAAAGTATTCCCAGTTTTAAATGATCACAGATGCCAACCCAGATTACTATACCCAGCCAAAATGTCTATTATAGTTGAAGAGGAAATAAAAATCATCAATGAGGGGTATATATGTATATCTCACCCTGCCCCAAAATCAAATTAAAATAGATCTAAGACCAGAAACTCTGAAAGTGCTAGAGGATAATTAGGGAAAACACGTGAAGATATATAGGGCTAGGTAAGGCTAGAACTTCAGTTGTTCAGGAAACAAGGCCAACAATTGACAGACTGGACTTCATGAAATTAAGACACAGACCACATGAATGGATTAAGAAACAAAATCCATCTTTTTGTTGTCAGCAAGAAACTGATTTCACTTTCAAGGACAGACACTATCTCAAAGTGAAAGGATGGAAAAAAATATACTAAGCAAATGGCACTAAGAAAAAAGCAGGCGTAGCAATTCTAATATCTGACAAAATAGACTTTAAACTAAAACTAATCAGAAGAGACAAAGAGGGCCACTTCATTTTGATCAAAAGAACAATGAATCAAGAAGATATTACAATCATGAACATATATTCATCAAACCCTCATGCACCCAACTTCATCAAAGCAATAATACAAGACTTTAAGACCCAGATTAACCCCAACTCATTAATAGTAGGCGACTCCAATAACCCACTGTCTCCATTAGATAGGTCAACAGGGCAGAGAGTTAACAGAGAAACATCTGAATTAAACAATACCATATATCAATTGGAATTAACAGACATCTACCAAGTACTCCAACCAAGCACCAAAGGACATACTTTCTACTCAGCACCCCATGGAACCTTCTCCAAAATCGAGCATATACTGGGGCACAAAAAAAACCTCAACAAAGACAGAAAGATTGAAATAATTCCATGCATTCTATCAGACCACAATGCAATAA